CACCAGCCCTTCCCAGCCAACCCATCCTCTCCCTCACCCCCTTCCCTGCTCCCTGCCCTCACCACCACCTCCCTCCCTCCACCAGGTCTTCTTCAAGGCCGGGCTGCTGGGGCTGCTGGAGGAGATGCGTGACGAGCGCCTGTCCCGCATCATCACCCGCATCCAGGCGCAGGCCCGCGGGCAGCTCATGCGCATCGAGTTCAAGAAGATCCTGGAGCGCCGGTGAGAGGGGGGGACACACAATGGGCTCTTCCTCCTCTGGGGAGGGGTCTCCAGGTCCATAGCGTGGTGGCTTCTGTGCCCCCGTTGTAGGGACGCGCTGCTGGTGATCCAGTGGAACATCAGGGCCTTCATGGGGGTGAAGAACTGGCCCTGGATGAAGCTCTACTTCAAGATCAAGCCCCTGCTGAAGAGCGCCGAGACAGAGAAGGAGATGCAGGTGGGAGGGGCTCACGGGACGGGCAGGTTGGGCCCACCAGTGATGTGGGTTGGGTGGGGTTGGTGGGTGGAGGGGATTGGAAGCTGTTGGTCTCCTTGGCTCTGGTGCAGAACATGAAGGAGGAGTTTGGGCGGCTGAAAGAGGCCCTGGAGAAGTCGGAAGCCCGGCGGAAGGAGCTGGAGGAGAAGATGGTCTCCATGCTGCAGGAGAAGAACGACCTTCAGCTCCAAGTGCAGGCTGTGAGTGAAGTTGTCCCCAAAACTACGTCGATGAGGTGGCCACCAGCTCACTTCAGCTGCTGCCCCAATACAGGAGCAGGACAACCTCAACGATGCCGAGGAGCGCTGCGACCAGCTGATCAAGAACAAGATCCAGCTGGAGGCCAAGGTGAAGGAGCTGACGGAGCGGCTGGAAGACGAGGAGGAGATGAACGCCGAGCTGACAGCCAAGAAGAGGAAGCTGGAGGATGAGTGCTCAGAGCTCAAGAAGGACATTGATGACCTGGAGCTGACTCTGGCCAAGGTGGAGAAGGAGAAACACGCCACTGAGAACAAGGTGAGGAGAGGCCTCAACCTCAAGCTGAGAAGGCTTGAGTCAACTCAGCACAGGTGGGCTGGGTTGAGAAGAGCCAAGCCAGTTGGGTTGGGCTGCATCAAGAAGACCCAAGGCCCTTTGGTTTCTCCTGCACTAAAATGTCCTCACTGGCCAAGGCCAACAGCAACCTCCTTCAGGTCTGGCCTACCCTTGGCACCAAGCTGGAGGCCTGATCTTTCTCCTGCAGGTCAAGAACCTCACAGAGGAGATGGCTGGGCTGGACGAGAACATCGCCAAGCTGACAAAGGAGAAGAAGGCCCTGCAAGAAGCTCACCAGCAAACACTGGATGACCTGCAGGCAGAGGAAGACAAGGTCAACACCTTGACGAAGGCCAAAGTCAAGCTGGAACAGCAGACGGACGACGTGAGTGTGGGCCAGGCCCACCACGAGTGCTGCCGAGGATCTGCTTGGGAGAGAGGGTGAGAACCTGAGGTTTCCCCCCATTTCTGTGTCTCCATGCAGCTCGAAGGCTCCCTGGAACAGGAGAAGAAAATCCGGATGGACCTAGAACGGGCCAAGAGGAAGCTGGAAGGTGACTTGAAGCTGTCTCAGGAGAACATCATGGACCTGGAGAATGACAAACAGCAGCTGGAGGAGAAGCTGAAGAAGTGAGGCTGGACTTCCTGCCTCGGTGTGACCCGTTCAGGGGGCACAGGATGGGACCTCAGCAGTCTCCACCTTCCTCCACAGGAAGGAGTTTGAGATCCACCAGCAGAACAGCAAGATCGAGGACGAGCAGGCGCTGGCCTTGCAGCTCCAGAAGAAGCTGAAGGAGCTGCAGGTGAGGGGTCGAGTCTCTGCCTAGCTGGGCTTGGCCAAAGGGCCACCATCTTGGTGGGCTGAGTTGAAGAGCCTCCAGCTGGTTGGGTGGGGTTGAAGAGTCTGTAGCCTGTTGGGCTGGCTTGAGTTGAAGAGTTTCCAGTTGGCTGGGTTGGCTTAAGTTGAGATGAAGGATCTCCAACGAGTTTCCTGGGGCTGAGTTGAAGAGTGCAGTGGGTTGGGCTGAAGAGTCTCCAGCCAGCTGGGTTGAGGTGCAGGGACCGTTTGGGTGGGGTCAGGCCTGAGGACAGGGTGTCCATCCCCGGAGCTCAGGCGCGGATCGAGGAGCTGGAGGAGGAGCTGGAGGCGGAGCGCACGGCCAGGGCCAAGGTGGAGAAGCTGCGCTCGGACCTGTCGCGGGAGCTGGAGGAGATCAGCGAGCGGCTGGAGGAGGCGGGCGGGGCCACCTCGGTGCAGCTGGAGCTCAACAAGAAGCGGGAGGCGGAGTTCCAGAAGATGCGGCGGGACCTGGAGGAGGCCACGCTGCAGCACGAGGCCACGGCTGCCGCCCTGCGGAAGAAGCATGCGGACAGCACCGCGGAGCTTGGGGAGCAGATCGACAACCTGCAACGGGTGAAGCAGAAGCTGGAGAAGGAGAAGAGCGAGCTCAAGCTGGAGCTGGACGACCTCAGCTCCAACATGGAGCAGCTGATCAAGGCCAAGGTAGGAGGAGGCCAAGGTGGCCGTCTCGGCTCCGGCGGGGCCACAAGCCTCCCGCTTCATCCCTCGCTCCTCCAAGGTGGGCATGGAGAAGGTCTCCCGCACCATGGAGGACCAGGCGGCCGAGCACCGGGCCAAGCTGGAGGAGACCCAGCGAGTCCTCAATGACACCAACACCCAGCGGGCCAAGCTCCAGACCGAGAACGGTGAGAGCCCAACCCCACATCTTCACCCCTGCACCTCACATCTCCGCCCCTCGCTCCACCCCTGAAGACCTCCCCTACCTCTGCAGGAGAGCTGTCCCGCCAGCTGGAGGAGAAGGAGGCCCTCATCTCGCAGCTCACCAGGGGCAAGCAGTCCTACACCCAGCAGATGGAGGACCTGAAGAGGCAGCTGGAGGAGGAGATGAAGGTGTGGTTCATGGGGTGGCTGAGAAGACACAGGGGTCTCCAGGAGGGCCACAAGACAAGGCCTCCTTCACCATCAATGAGAAGGAGT